AACTACCCCCAGAGATCCGGGTCATTCCGGATCTCCCCTCCTTCCGCCGCGCCCTCAAGACATGGCTATTCCAGCTAGCGGGGCTGGCCTGAGGGGTATTTTAGATTGGATTTTAATTTGATTTTATATTGGGTGTTAACAAAATTTTAAATGAAACGGCAAAATTAATATTTCTTTTAATTATATTTTAAAATGGTGTCTGTAGGGTCTTTATCTGTTTTTAGCTTGCTGTAAGCCGCCCTGGGTCCGCCAGGAGAAGGGCGGGGTATAAATCTAATAAAATCACAAAAATCAAAATCACGGTTGCAGCAGAGGGGTAACTGGCCCACATTTATGACAGCTGGGTCACTTGATCACCATTTGGGACTTCCCCAGCCTGCTTCCAGCAGGCAAAGCCAATGAAGGAAGCCAAATTCACTTACTGACTATGGCAAAACGGTCATAAAATTGGGCACAGTCACATGATGACTCATTTAACTACTGCACTGCTTAGTGATGGAAGCTCCAGTCCCAACTGTGGTCAGAAGCTGTAGACTGCCTCCATCCTAAACTTTCACTTCATTTTTGACCCAACCGCGGCGCCCACAGAGAACCATAGGTGCACATTGGTTCCCACAGCATCGTCTTAGGCCTAAACATATTTTACGCATGCAGATATTGACATGGTCTTTCTCACCTTCTCATTTTTCCCATCTTCCCTAACACCTTCTCCTACTGGTATCAGTGATTTATCCCTTGTTGTTGTAACTTATGTTTACTGACTGTATCTAGGATCTATGAGGTATGACCTATCACTTTGTTGTTTGCATATACACTGAGATAAATTCCTTGTGTCTCCAATCACACTTGGCCAATAAAGAATTCTATTCTATTCTATTCTATTCTATTCTATTCTATTCTATTCTACTCTACTCTACTCTACTCTACTCTACTCTACTCTACTCTACTCTACTTTACTCTACTCTACTTTACTCTCCTCTCCTCTCCTCTCCACTCCACTCCACTCCATTCTATTCCATTCCATATTTTCTATTCTATTCTATTATGTTGTTCTATTCTATTCCGTTCCGTTCCATTCCATTCATTAATTCCATTCAAATTNTGACCTGATTTATGGTCGTCACAAGTCATGACCATGATGGGCAGTCTTCATTATGGTCTTAACCCGAGGATTACCTGTAGCCAAATAATGGACATTTTAAAGCTGCTCCCTAATTAACTGATGAAGCCAGAATCCTTCAAACTGATGTCACAAAAAGACAACCTGGGTCATCTGCCCAGGTTTCAGATGGCCCCTAGAGAGTTTCCAACATTGTGAGAAGAGGAAAAATTACACAGTTGCAGGGCAAATAATAAGTGTACAGATAATACAAAGTAAATGAAATTTAGTTTTCATTCTGATCCTGCTCACTTTTTTGACTGCAGCCTTTTTGCACACGGATCTGTGCTTTCTTCTACACCAGATTCAATATCAGACAAACACAAAAACGTATTTTCTTTTGAGCTACCACTGAGAGCCAGATGATTAAATATTTTACACCAGCAAGATTCTTTTTCGGGGATTCGATCAGCTCTGGAAGTTTGGCTGGGCGCTCTCAGGAAATTTTGGTGAGCGAGCCAAGAGATTTATTGTACGAGGCTTTTCACGGTCCTGTTTTTCTCCCCAAGTCTTTTTATGCTGGTTTCTAAGTAACTGCTTTGAAGATTGTTATTTCTTTTCTATTAATGGTAGTAAACTACTTTGTGACCCCTTTTTGGAGACAAAAAAACTGCCTATAAATCTTTTTATTTCAGATAAATCTGGTCTTGGTGCCTACTTCGAGTCACCTTGTCAAGATGTCTTTGAAAACTGGGTTCATAGGGAAAAAATGGTTTGGTTTTGTAACATTTTATTTCTTGTATGTTCACTCTTGAATATGTTATATGCTAAAACCTTAAACAGATTAACATTGGCCACACTTGGAATACTGCATCCAGTTTTGGTCACCATGATGTAAAAAAGATGCTGAAACTCTAGAAAGAGTGCAGAGAAGAGCAACAAAGATGATCAGGGGACTGGAGGCTAAAACATATAAGGAACGCCTGCTGGAATTGGGAATGTCTAGTTTAATGAAGAGAAGGACGAGGGGGGACATGATAGCAGTGTTCCAGTATCTCAGGGACTGCCCCAAAGAAGAGGGAGTCAGGCTATTCTCCAAAGTGCCTGAGGGCAGGACAAGAAGCAATGGATGGAAACTAATCAAAGAGAGAAGCAACCTAGAACTAAGGAGAAATTCCTGACAGAACAATTAATCAGTGGAACAACCTCCCTCCAGAAGCGGTGAATGCTCCAACACTGGAAGTTTTTAAGAAGCGACTGGACAGCCATTTGTCTGAAATGGTGTAGGGTTCCTGCCTGAGCAGGCGGTTGGACTTGATGCCTTCCAAGGTCCCTTCCAACTTTATTATTATTATTATTATTATTATTATTATTATTATTATTATTATTGTTGTTGTTGTTGTTGTTGTTGTTGTTGTTGTTGTTGTTGTTGTTGTAAATTACCTCCATATTAGGACTTTGTAGAACAGTGGTTCTCAACCTTTTTAATGCCGCGATCCCAACCGGTCGTAAGTCGAGGACTAAACCGGTCGTATGTCGAGGACTAAACCGGTCGTAAGTCGAGGACTACCCAATCGGTCATAAGTCGAGGACTTTCCCTGCCCGGGAGCGCCGCGCATGCGTGGTTCCGCCCCCTGCGCCGGCCGAGGCGTAGCTGGCAAGCGGCAGAGACGGAGCAGGCCGGCCACCAGCTGGCCCAGCCCAAGGGAGGTAAGGCACCCGCTGGAAAAGGGGGAAAAATGGCGGACAAAAAAAATGGTGGACAAAAAAAAATGGCGGACAGCCTTGCTTGGCGACCCCCATGAAATGGTCGATCGACCCCAAATGGGGTCCTGACCCACAGGTTGAGAACCACTGTTGTAGAAGGAGAGCTGCCTTAAACTATGGCAGCAAAAACTTAGGAGTCAGGCAGGACTTTTTCCAACTTCAGGTAGTCCTCAAATTACAACAGATGCAACCATTTAACAATGGTTGAAGGTTACGATGGTCTAGGACAGTGATGGCGAACCTTTTAGAGACCGAGTGCCCCCAAACTGCCCCGCCCCCACCCCGCCCCCGCTCCACCCGCCCACCCTGCCCACCCTCAGGGCCATCCACGGCCTGCCGCAGATCGTCCAGGCAGCCCTTCAGCGCCATGGTGGCTACACCCTCCACCCATGCCTCAGAGCATCATGTGCTGTCCAGCTGCCATATGCTTTACTGCGCTGCTCCATGTGGGCCGCACCCGGGGGTGACTCTCCTCCGGGGGGGTGCTGCTGGTGAGGACTGGGCTGCGGGGGGAGGCAGGGCTGGGGCGATGGCACAGAGAAGGCTCTGAGTGCCGCCTCTGCCACTCGTGCCATAGGTTCGCCACCACTGGTCTAGGAAAAAAATGACTTAGGACCTGTACTCACACTTACAACCAATGGAGCACTTCACGGATCACATGATCACAATTTGGGTGCTGGGCAACTTGTTCGCATTTATGACTTACTGTACCATTCTGTGTTCTCATGAACACAATTTTAATTTCTAGCAAAAAACATGCATGGGAGAACTGGATTCACTTAACGGCCATGATGACTTGCTTAATGACTACCATAAAAATTGTTGTAAAATCGGGTCTGACTTGACTTAAGATCGCCATGATTTATGATGGAAATTCCAGTTCCATTTGTGATCATAAGTCGGGGATGACTTGTAACAAATGTTATTAAATGGCATGAAGCATGAAAACAGAAGATCAGCACTCCCCTAGATAAGAATGGGAAAGGCAATCAGCACGACACCTATGGCTATCACTCCAAAGCAAGAAAATCTTACATTTCTTTTTCTTTAATATCTTGGTAAAATTCTGTTTTGAGACCAGATAAACGGATTCTTCTTTTTATGCAGCCGAGTAAATGAACAGCCAACTTAAAATGGGACTGGTGATCGATCACCTGGCAAAAATTCAGCCTAAAAGTCTAGAATCTGACTGCAAGTTTTATTTATTTGGTAGCGTGCTTGTGGTCCTTTGCATATATCAAGAAGTAGCATTTGCTAAAAAACAAAACAAAACCCCATGCAGCTTGGAAAGAAGACACCAGACTGATCCATTCTCCCTGCACCTGAAATGGTTGTACAGGTAGTCTTTGATTATGATCAATTGCTTAGCAACTGTTCAAAAAGTCATTTCCCCCCCCATAGAGTTAGTTCTGAGATTCCAACAGCTGCCCCCCCCCACAGTCACGTGATCACATTTTGGGCGCTCATCAGTGGCTATTTGCAGTCATGTGACCACCATTTACAATGTGTTTGCCGAAAAGCAGTGTTTATTTCTGGGTGTTGTTTTTTTTTTGTTTTTTGTTTTGACAAAAACACCCCATGGCAAACAAAGAGCCCAGTTAATGACCATGGATTCACTTAACAGCTATGGTCATTCATTTAACAGCCACCACCCCAAAAAAAGTTGTAAAATTGGATGGGTCATGTGATGATCTGCTTTATGACCTTCGCAACTTACAGTTGTAATGGACAGGTTCCCTTACGGTCGTGAGTCAAGAACTACCTCTACGCCTGCAATGGAATAATTCCTTGGTTTATACCAGGGGTAGGCAACCTTGGCTCTTTTGTGACTTGTGGACTTCAACTCCCAGAATTCCTGAGCCAGCCATGCTGAGGAGAAATGAAGAGGTTTCCATACTGAACCATGCTGGCTCAGGAATTCTGGGAGTTGAAGTCCATGAGTCATAAAAGAACCAAGGTTGCCTATCCCTGGTTTATACCCTAAATCAGGGGTAGTCAACCTTGGCTCTTTTATGACTCGTGGACTTCAACTCCCAGAATTCCTGAGCCAGCTTAGCTGGGTCAGGAATTCTGGGAATTGAAGTCCACGAGTCATAAAAGAGCCAAGGTTGACTACCTCTGCCCTAAATCCTAACCCTTGGTTATAAAAATGGGCGAAGGAAGCCTTTCCCAGTTTTGTATGTGGTGGTTCTACAAAGCTGGGAAGGCAACTCCTGATGTCCTAGCAGAACCTCAACAGACGATCCCCATTTCATCTAAAAAAAAAACCCAGCCCTTGTGGGCTTATCCAGTAAACAATTCTTAAAGAAGGTGTAGCTTATGTGTTATGTGAGCCAGATCAGAGACAGATTACGTGTGCAGAATGCTAATACCCCAAATGAAAAAAAAGATTTCTTCCCAAATAACTGAAATAATCCAAGAAAGCTATAATCAAGAATTTAAGACATTTATTTTAAAACCCTATAAATGTTTATTCTGGGCCAGCCTTTCCTGACAGTGCTACCGGCTCTTTGACAGATGCCTAAAACAGAGCAATTTTTCCCACCCGTGGTTTCCACAGGGTACTCTTTAGCGAGATTTATGGAGATGAATGGGGTGGGGCTACAAGAGTCCAGGAACTGAGCTATTAGCTCTGTTTAGAACTAATTGGTCCCTAAGTTTATAGTAAAGGTTGTCTTCGACTTATGACCACAATTGAGCCCAATATTTCTATTGCTAAGTGAGACATTTGTTAAGTGAGCTTCACCCCATTTTACGACCGTTCTTGACACAGTTGTTAAGTGAATCGCGGCAGTTGTTAAATCAGTAATACGGTTGTTAAACAAACCTGGATTCCCCATTGACTGTGCTTGTCAGAAGGTTCACAAAAGGGGATCACATGACCCCGGGACACTGCAAACGTCATAAATATGAGTCAGTTGCCAAGCCTCTGATTGTTGAACATGTAACCATGGGGATGCTGCAACGGTCGTAAGTGTGAAACGTGTCCCTTTTTCAGTGCCCTTGTAACTCTGAATGGTCACTAAATGAACTGTTGTAAGTTGAGGACTACCTGTCTTAAGGCATCAATGCCTTTACACCCTGTTTTACGTAACAAGAAGGAGAAACCAGGAGGGTAATATATATATTTCTCAGCTCTCTCCGTCCCAATCTCCCTCTAGACAGAGCAGTGTTCCCCAATCTTAGCAACTCCCAGAATCCTCCAGCCTGACATTTTCAAATTGCTATGGTTGAGAGACACTGCTCTAGAGCACTTTTCTCAACCGTGGGAACTTGAAGATGTGTGGACTTCAATTCCCAGAATTTCATAGCCAGTCATGTTGAAGTCCGTACTTCTTCAAGTTGCCACTGCTGTGGAGGCTAGAGAACAAATTCCTCAGCCAGCCTACAATTGTTCACCTCCTTTGCATCAGCCCAAGAAAGTGGATTTGGGAAGAGGTGGATAAGAATGCTCTGGGAAGGAAGGAAGGGAGGGAGGGAGGGAGGAAGGAAGGAAGGAAAAAAGGAAAGGAAAGGAAGGAAGGAAAAAGGAAAGGAAAGGAAGGAAGGAAGGAAGGAAGGAAGGAAAAAAGGAAAGGGAAGGAAGGAAGGAAAGAAAAAAGGAAAGGAAAGGGAAGGAAGGCAGGAAGGAAGGAAGGAAGGAAGGAAAAAAGAAAAGGAAGGAAGGAAAAAAGGAAAGGAAAGGAAGGAAGGAAAAAAGGAAAGGAAAGGAAAGGAAAGGAAAGGGAAGAGAAGGAAGGAAGGAAGGAGCTATGCTGTGCAATATTAAATAGTTGCAAGGGAGCTGAATCAGCAGGATCCCTAGTAATGAGAACCCTGTTACATGGATTTCCTGGCAACCATTAGAGTTACAAGCTTGATTTTTTAAAAAAAATGATGGATGCACTTCTATGGAAGCTACAACAAACCTGAAATAAGGCAAGTCATTAATCTAGCCATTAATCATGCATTAATGATCAGAGAGCAAGAATAAGCAGGATTCCAGGTCAGAAGACGCTAACAGCAAAAGGAGCGTAAGATGGATGGGCATTCCTATAAAGAAGCATCCAGGTAGCCCTTGACTAATCACCACAATTGGGACTGGAGCTTCCGTTGTGAAGCAATGTGATTGTTAAACGAGTTATATCAGATTTTATTACCTTTTTAGCCATGGCTGTTAAGCAAATCCTGCAGTTCTTAAGCCAACCCAGCTTCCCCCATTGTCTTTGCTTGTTAGAAGCCTGGGAAGGTTACAAATGGGGATCACAGGACCCAGGAATGCGGTAACCATCAAATACATGCTGGTTGCCAAATACCCAAATCGCGATCATATGACTGAGAGGATCTACAAGGGTTGTAAGTGCAGGGACTGGTTGTAAATCACTTTTTTCAGCACCATCATAACATTGGACATTTTGGACTGGAGGCTAAAACATATGAGGAACGGTTGCTGGAATTGGGTATGTCTAGTTTAATGAAGAGAAGGACGAGGGGGGACATGATAGCAATCTTCCAATATCTCAGGGGCTGCTCCAAAGAAGAGGCAGTCAAGCTCTTCTCCAAAGCACCCGAAGGCAGGAGAAGAAGCAACGGGTGGAAACTAACCAAAGAGAGAAGCAACCTAGAACTAAGGAGAAACTTCCTGACAGTTAGAACAATTAACCAGTGGAACAACCTGCCTCCAGAAGCGGTGAATGCTCCCACACTGGAAGTTTTTAAGAAGAGACTGGACAGCCATTTGTCCGAAATGGTATAGGGTTACCTGCCTGAGCAGGGGGTTGGACTTGATGACCTCCAAGGTCCCTTCCAACTTCATCATCATCATCATCATCATCATCATCATCATCATCATCATCATCATCATCATCATCATCATCAATTCGAGGACTGCCTGTAATTCAAAAGCATACAACTGCAAGTAGATAAATAGGTACCACTTCAGTGGGAGGGTAACAGCGCTCCATGACATCATGCTGGCCACCTGACCGCGGAAATGTCTTTGGAGAGCACTGGCTCAATGGCCTTGAAATGGAGATGAGCAGCGCCCCCTACAGTTGGGACAATGACTAGCGGAGTAAAATCCACGGGGACTCCTTTTCACTGCCTGTAATTTTACTGCCTGCAATTCCAGCGAGGGTTTAACAGTAGACGAAGTGAATACGGCTGCAGAAAAAGCTTGCTAAAGATCTGAAAAGGAAAAAAAAATAGACATCTCTAGGAAGTGAAAGGTGAGGCAGATCATCAAGGAAGGATGCATGTAAGTACCCGGTAGTTGGAATTGCCAAGATAGCATCAGAAAGGCTAGAACTCAGAGTGATGAAAGATCTTAGAATGAAAAAAGACTCCTTCAGGTGTTTTCAAAATAAAGAGAATCAGGATGCTGACTGCTTAATAAAGATGGCAAAATGCCAAGAGCCGATAAAGAAAAGGCAGAACCGTTCAATGCCTCCTTTGGCTTGTTCTTCTCCAAAAGGGCAATTATGAAGCACAAGATAAAGGGACGGGATTGAACCTGGTGACTGATAGAAACATGGTCAGGAAGTACCTGTTGAATCAGTCTGAATCTCTTAGATCAGGGGTCTACAACCCCCATCTGTGGACCAGTACTGGGTCACGGCATGCCAGCAACCGGGGCGCACAAACAAGCAAAGCCCCATCCGTGGGATGCAGGCAGCACACAAAATCATGCACCCTCCAGTCCGTGGAAAAACCTCTCTCCACAGAACTGGTCCCTGGTGCCCAAAAGGTTGGGGACCTCTGTTTTAGATGATCCTCTGGCTGAACCCATATGTATTATTTCTTAATAATCTTGGATGAAATGATGAAGGATGAACGACTAGACTAGAGAATGAAAAATGTGCTTCTTATTTTCACAAAAGCAAAAAAAAAAAAGGGGGGGGAAGGAATTGTGAAATAACAGGCCAGTCAACATGACATTAATTCCTGCAAAAAGTGTGGTAGAGAACATAAAACAAATACTCTTTAAGCACCTTGAAAGCAACTAAAATTTAACATGGATTTGTTAAGAATAGATATTTCCAGACCAACCCAATCTCCTTTAGTAAC